TTTCACCAAGGCCTCCTTTTCTCTGGCTTTTTAGTGTCTCTTGTCCCTTTGCCCCTCTTGCCGGTTGCTTGACCTTTCTTTGAAATCAGTGTCAAAGCATTTTTCAGGTGTATGCACTTACATTAAACACCCGCCATACTAGGGATGTGAATGGTTAACCCGTAAGCCTTTCCCGTAATGGGTGAGGCTTACTAATTCCAGTTACCTGGTAGGGGCTGGAGCCCCCCGGCCCCAGGGGGGCCCACTGCAGGCAGAGGCTGCTCCGGTTGTCTGGAGGAGCCCCTGTCTGTGCTCTTCCCTCCCCACCTCAGGCAGGGGCTGCTCTGACCAGTTGGCCAGAGCAGCTCTTGTCCACAGCAGTGAGGGACACTCCAGCCCAGATGTGTCTCATTCCCCCTTTAATCTATTAACCAATTAAGCCTAAAGTTTAACTGGTTAACTAATTAAATGGAATTTTACATCCCTATACTATACTCCCTCAACATTTTAACTCTCTTCCTTTTCTCTTCTTTGTGCCATAAACACCATCTGGTTAGGCAGAAGCAACATAAAGTGTCTTTGTTCACACGTATTAGTAAAGATATACAAGTATAAACAATCATACCCAAAATTCTATCTCAGGCTAAGTGACAGGCTTATATACCAACAGCTGGCATCTGTGGCACAACAGAAAGGGGTGGGGAACAATATGGAATGATACAAGAGTTAAAAAGGAAGGAACGTAGGATTATGAGGGTCTTGAAAGTAAGAGAAGACCTAAGTGATGGAGCAGAGAGAACCACTGAAGATATCAGAGTGGGTTGATTTATAATGAATTTAATCTTATTTTGCATTTGTACTTTACCTGTTTCCCTAAAAAAGGAATAATTTTCATTGGCTGGTTGGTAATGATAAAAAAAGGTTGACTTGCAATTAAACGTAGGCTTAATGCTAACCTTGGTATTTTTGATATTTGCTAATTGGGATATCGCACTCTGTACACCTTCCTTTAACCAGTTATATAGCTCAACATTCATTTATTCAGATTCACATTAGAAAATGGTGAAAAATGCACATGATTACAAAAAACATTATTTCTGTCATGCTGCATTAGGATGGAAATTAGAATTCAGTTAAAATTCACAAAGTCAGTGTTTTAAATTTGTTTTTTAACTGGCTAGATAACTTTATCTTAAATGAGCTGTATACATTAGAAAGAAATAGTAAGCTTATCAAGACCTGCTTTGCATTTAAAACTAGTTAATATGTATTTTAAAAAGGAATTATTAACTGTAGCTAGTGAATTGCAGAGTTGTGTCTGGCCACCAGGGGCCAGATTTGCAAAAGTACTTAAGCACCTTATGTAGATAGTGAATACCACTAGGCACCTCAGCAGGGTAAGTGCCTAACCCCTATTCAAACTAAAGGGGGTTAGATCCCTAAATTGCATAGAAGATTTTGGAAATCCTATTTTAGATGCCTAAATATGTGCAGATCTGATCCCATGTCTTTCATGTTTTTAGAATTGTTAGATCTCATCTTTACCCCATGATTTTGTCCATAAATTGTAAGAGTAAAACATGCTTTGCTTCTTTTTAAATTTCTAATAAGCTAGTCCAAATGAAGAAAATGCAGTAGGTGGGCCCGCCCCCCCCCTCCTCCAGCAGACCAGGGAGACGTGGAGCAGCTTTTCTCGCCACGGAGGACGCGACCTCTGCTGCGAGAAAAGCCCCGTTTGTATGTAGGGATCCGACGTAAGTCGGATCCACGTAATCTGGGGACTGCCTGTATACTAATTCTTAAATTTAAGGAGGACTCATTGATGCAATTTTTGTTTTTCATTTACATAATTTTAATAGATTATAGTAGATTTAAGCCTTAACATTGATTGTATGCTATCATAATGTCAAATTTAATTTTAAACAGACTTATTTTTTAAAATAAAATATATGTAATTATAAATGGATGTTTTAAATTAAAAAAGCCAGGTATTTTTATTTATTCTAGGAGATGTTAAAACATGTAATCAGAATGGACATGCAAGAAAGATACTTAGGATTAGGGATGTAAAAGTGACTAGTCGAGTAGTTTTATCGGGTTGTTGAGTCATTACTCGACTACTTGCTTTTCTTCCCCTTGCTGCTTCTGAATCAGAGGCAGGAAGGTGGAGGTGGGGGGTGAAGCAGGAGTCGGTGTTAGGGGGAACCAGCTTAAAAGCTGGTTCCCTTCACTACCATCTCCATGCTGTGGGGAAGGAGTGCAGGGGAGGCAGAGGCACAGCAGTCTGGGACCTGGTGCAAGCTGGGACTGCTCAGCTGGGTCCTGCACCTACCCCCACTGTGGCTCTGCATTTTAAATGTAGTAAGAGATGGGTGGCTCTTACTACATTTAAAATGCAGAGGCTTGGTGGTCTGGGACCTGGATCTACCCCCGCTGTGGCTCTGCCTGTGCACCTGGCTCCTCCTACATTTAAACTGCAAAGCTGCAGTGAGGCCCTTATCGACTAATCGTATAGTCAATACAAATTGTTACAAATGATTAGTCAATTACCCACTTCTTAACATCCTTACTTAGGAGCAGTGATAGAGATGCAGTCATGTTAGTCTGGTCTAGCTGAAACAAAAGACAGAAGTATGTAGCACTTTAAAGACTATCAAGATGGTTTATTAGGTGATGAGCTTTCGTGGGCCAGACCCACTTCCTCAGATCAATATGTGATACCATATTGATACCACATCATGATCTGAGGAAGTGGGTCTGGCCCACGAAAGCTCATCACCTAATAAATCATCTTGTTAGTCTTTAAAGTGCTACATACGTCTGTCTTTTTTTTTTTTTTTTTACTTAGGAGCAGCATTTGGTAATTACTGTGTGTTGGGGAAAATAAGAAGTTTTGAGAGAAGCCCAGACAGGACCTGCAGAACTGAAATAAAAGGCTTGGTCTTAAGAGGTGGCTGATTTCGGAATAGATGAGGCTTTATCTGACACAAGGTCATTTAATGTGGAGGAGAGTAATGAGCTTGTGTCATTCATTTTTGATTGAACCTTGTTTCATAATTTTGAGAGTTCCTGATGATCTTGCAGTACTGACTCCTCTCAGTAGGGGCTGCTGCAGGACTATATATTTAACACTGCAAGAACTGAGTGGCGAGATGGAAATTAAAACTCCTCATGGGTATCTTTTTATAGTACCTTAATTTATTCACTACATGTTCCCTTTACAGTTATCACACTGCTCACTATCTCTTAGGGGATGGCTCTGATTGCTGCTTTTCCTATTCTCGGTTCTTAGACTTTTCCCTCTATTTGCTCCCGTTTCATCTGCCTGTTTGTGAATATTGAATGAACACACAATTATTGAATGTTGTCAGATCCATGAATTCTGATATTCTTTGCATGGATTGCAATCTTTTAAACATGGTAATCCAGCTGTACACAACAATGTTACCTGGCTCTTACACAGATTTGTCCTCAGTCAATCTTAAATCAGGAATTACAGGCGTTTTATGGAGCACGGTTCCCTGGATGTGTGTCTGCAGCTAAGGGATGAATGGTCGATTTCTCATTGTGTGAGACTTTGTCTGCACTAACCATGTTAACTGTAACCTGTTAGTCATCATAAATGATTACAGCTAAGCTGGGTCAGTGCATCACATTTGTGCAGCTACATTCGCTTGTGCACACCTACCATGCTGCACACTTGTCCTTATTCTAATGTATTTAGGCAAATGTTCCATTATTGCCTCATCTGCTGCTGCCAGAGGTTGCAGATTGGGTATTTCTCCAATGTTGTACTGATTCGGGGGATATTGCTCCACAAAAGTAGGTGCACAAGGCCCCAAAAGACTATTCTGAGAGAGCCTTAATCAAGTTTTGTGCTACTATAAAGCTGCTTTAAATATCCATACACCATTTCTTTGTTTTATTTAAATTTCAAGATCTTGGGTTGTCTCTGTGATAAATTATCATTTCTTTACAGTGCCACAAGGTTGCAGTAGTGAGAGAGGATAAACTGGAAGGTAGGTGATTTTTGGAAATTATGCTTTTGTAACTTTTTTTCTCTGAAGGAACAATGTTAACAAAGCTTAAAACCATCTATACATGCAATCTGCAGGTATTTTAATCAAATTGTTGCATTCAGGTATATACTCCTTCATTAGATTTTTCCCAGAACGTTTAAAACCCGAGCACCCATCAGCAAAACTTCACAAACTTTTAGCTTAGTAACTGATTTTTAGATAGCACTTCTTTTATTTATAGGGATCACTTCACCCGTTCCTAAGGCTGCTACTCTCAGCTGGAATGCATCAGTACTGCTGGACCTGTGAGCAGCAACACCTTGTAACATTTTAGGATGGCAAGGGAAGAATACTGAATTGAACTGTGAAACTACAAGGGAAGCTAAGGCAGAATCAGAACACTGGGGCCAACAGCCTTACGTTCTGGGAATTAAAGTGGGGATCTTCATTATCCATGAGCATCTTAGTCTCATCTGTAGGACATCTCTGCATTATGTTGTCCCATAGTCCCATATGGAGATGGTTGATTCAATACTGAACGGGAAGTGCTACTTACTAATCTGCTAACAATGTTTCTTGAAGCAGCTGAGGCTATTCGTGGTTGGTCTTTCATCCAACCGTCCGAGCCTAACCCTGGTTGTCAGAGCTGATGGATCTCAGGCTACAGATCATTAATAATTTCCATCTGATGACTTTGGCATCAGATAATATACCAATATTTATGTTGTTCAGTTGAGTCTGCAAATGCCTCAGTACTAACATTCCAGCTTCAATAGTCAGGCTCTTGTCATTTTGCTATTGAAAACCAAAATGTAATGAGTCTAACATGGATTTTTCATAACTATTCCATTCTTGTACCGTGCTCCTTATAATAATATCTGAACACTTTCTTGTAGTACATTAAGCAATGTGATTAACATTGCCATGTGGTTGTTTTTTTTTGTTCTTATCATCTCTCCAGGGAGAGAATTGTGGCATGTATTGTTTTAATGTTTTTTTTCTGTAGTTGTCTCTTAGGCACATGTTGCTATGAGTTTATATTTAACTATAACTAACTAAATGTAATATAAACTCATAGACTTAAAAAGACAGAAGGGACCATTGTGATTATGTATTCTGATGTTCTTCACATCATAGGCCACAGAAACATATACACTCACTCCTATAATAGATCCATATTAGAGAAGGCAGATCAAAAATATGCCTTGCATTTGGAGTGGAAAATATTGAGATTGTGATGGTCCATAATTCTTGTGGTAGTTCATTCCACAGTTTAGGACTTATCCGCATGGCAGCTCTCTCTCCTGTGCAGGTAAATTTTACCTTTTCAAGAGAAAATTCCATTGTGCAGGAAGAGTGTTATCAATCACAGCCTTCAACCCAAAGCTTTAGGCAATCTCTGAGGTATCCTGGCTCTAGGCCATGAAACACCTGGAAGATTAGGATCGAGACTTTGAAATTTGCTCAGTATTCTGAGAATCCAATGCAGAGCAGAGAATAGGTTTGATGTGCTTGTGGTAGCTTGAATTCTCAGTCAGTGGGTGTCACTGGGTTACAAAATTGGTGTTAGCATTCTGAGTTCTTAATATCTCAAAGTTAAAACCCTGGTATCTAATGGAATCCTGCCCAGCCTTTCCTCCATCTTTAATTGAGGCTGGCAGTGCTAACAAAGGGCTGTCTTGTTGATTTTTAGCAATGAAGTCTAAGCTATCCACAATTGCTAGTGTGCATGTCTACAGCATTCAGAAAGCCATGCTGAAGGATAGTGGGCCCCTCTACAACACGGACTATGATATCATCAAGTCAAACCTGCAGAACTGCAGCAAGTGAGTTAAGCATTGCTATTGTATGAATGTTCGTCTAGGATCCCTTTACAGTTGTTGGAATTGCATTTATGTAGCATTCTTCCTCAGTAGAACTCAGTGTTTCATAAAACCAATGGCAAAGTCACAGCTAGAACCCTGGTCTCAACTCCCAGTTCTGTGCTCTGTCTGCTGGAGCATGCTGCCTCCCCTGAAAGGTGCCCTGGAAATTATCTATTTTATGTACAGAACAGACAGAGGCGGGCAGAGGCAGGGCAAGCTATCCCCATACCTAACTGGGAAAGGGATCATCCCTGAATTGAGGGGAATTCTGTGTCCAGGGCTGCTTAATTCTTTTTCCTCTGTCAGACTGATAGCAAGGGGCCAAGTAATACCAACTGCGGAGGTGATTTCTGTCAAGTTGACATTTGTCCACAAGGGACTAGATTGAGGCCCCCCAAGTAACTAAATAGGCCCCCAAACAGCTGTAAGATAGTGACTCCACCTTTGAGCCTCCTGTAGAATTACTATCTCCATTGTAAAACAGAGATGCATAAATACAAACACCTGTTGTGCACTTTTTTCTTTGTGCATTTGGGCAAATTAGAGTGAATTTAATTTCCATGGCTCCATGAAATCTGTTAGGGACTTGGTATGACTAGTCTATTTTATGTGCAAGGCACTCAGCTACCAAGGTGATGGGCAACAGTACAAATCCTAAAATAGATATGTACTGCCTTGCAAATGCCTACGAGAGAATGTTTGCTACCCCAGCCCTGTAGCTGTGAGTTGGGGAGAGGTGTTTTTCCTAAGTGGATGCGAGTAAGCTCCATAGCAAATGGTAGAAATTATGTAATTGTGATCTAATTAAAATGTGCAAAGTTTGTCCGTATTTGCCACACTTTGATTTTAATGTGTCTTTGGGCACCCTCTGCAGTGAAATCTATTTTGATGTAAATCCATGTTTCTGATTTAAAAATTCCTAAGGTTTAGTCCATAGAACTTTAAAATAATTCTCTAAAACCTGTGTTTTTGAATTTGAGACATCTTGGTGCTGAGTTTTCCAACTGAATTTAAAAAAGGCAGCTGAACTGGTTGGATATGACAGGGGAATAAGAGATTCTTCTCCATATTATCATTGTAGCTTGTTAATTTGTGGCCTAATTAGAGTAAATTTAGACTGCTTCCTCTTTTTGAAAATTGAATTAATATAGTAGTCAGCTATTGGGTTTTAATGTGCAAACACAAAAAGCAGAAAATCTTGCAGGTGGACTTCAACATTAAAAAAATCTGTGTGAATTTTGGTCCTGATCCAAAGGCCATTGAAATCAGCAGGTAACGGGTTTTATGTGAAGTAATCACACTACTTCTCATTAAGGTGTAGTACAGATGCAAAACCTTAAGTCATCTCTCCAGTGTTAGGAAGATTAATTTCCCAGACATATGGAATATTTGACATTCAGATATACTGATCCATTGATACAATAAATGTGAATGAATGAAAGTTCACTGTTAAATTTTTCCATTTTGGTGTGAAATTGATGAAGTTGGGGTATGTGTTACTTATGTGTGTCTGAAGAGGGCAGTGAAAGCTTTATGGGGTGATGGAGTGTGTTACTGTTACTATTGGAGGCAAAATGAAGATGGAAAGGAAAGCACATGTCTTTTCCCTTCTTAGCTTATGTCTACACTACAGCAGAAAGTTGAAAGGTATACAACTCCAGCTACGTGACACACCTTAGGTCAAATTACTGCAAGCAGGGGACTTATCTTACTCTTCTTTTGGGATAGATTACAGGACTCAACTTCAGGGTACTTTGTGATTGATTTGGTGGGTCTTCACTACACCCGCTAAATTGAATTGATGGATTGATCTCAGAGTATTGATCCCTGCTGTAGTGTAGTTTTATTTTCATGTGTGTAAGGTTTTGTGTGGATGGGGCATGTCCTGTCACAATCTTAAACTACGTAAGTGAGGGTATTGTTGGTTAGTGTATGTTAGTTTTTATATTTACAAATTATTGCATGTATGTGGAAAGCTTAAGCACCAATTTACTAGTAATATAAATGTAACCAATTTAGGAATAAAATAGGGCTAGTTTCCCTCCTTTTTCCCACTCTGCAATGACAAGTTTTTTTTCCTCAATGAAATTTGATCAGTTGTTTTGTATTTTCATGCTTCGGCCCCCTGCTGACATATTCAGATGATTGTTTCAGTGTGACGTCTCTCCCATTCTAACTCTGTGTTAGCTTTCCTTTGTAGTCCATGCCTGAATTAAATTGCTTCTTTTCCCCATAACAGTATAATATAAAATCAGGAAAGTAAGACACTACTAGGAAGGAAATTGAGGTGGAAAATAAGACGTTAAAGTGCTAATTAAATTTTTCACTCCATCAACCAGGTTTAGTGCCATTCAGTGCACTGCTGCAGTCCCCAGGACGTCAGCTGAAGTTTCTCAAGTTCATACTTCTGTACAGGCTGATTCCCAGACACCAAATGACACACATGCTGTCAATGGGCCTACAATCAATGGTCATGCCTCATCAACTGCTAAGCATCCCTCCCCTCCACCCAAAGGGATCATGGGAATGTTTGCTACAAAATCAGCTTCCAAATCCCAAGATACAAATAAAGAAAGTAAACCAGAGTCCAAAGAGACAACAGGTGTAAGTTACCTCACATCTTTTTGCAATTTGTTTTGATAATAGCCTTGTTAATCATTTTTTTTCCTTTTCAATTTAAAGAAATGTCAGCCACAGCTTCTTCCCATTGCTTCAGATTCTAGCCTCATTGTCACCTGAGAATACTTAATACGTCTCCCCATTTAAAATAGCTAATGATTGGTTGTCAGTGGTTGTTTCTGTAGCTAGATTATACCTCATACACTTATCCTTTCCTCAGAAGTCCTGTTTTCCAAGCCTGTTGTGGGTTTTTTTTTCTTTCCTCCAGACTCAGAGGTTGGTGTAAATCTGCATAGTTCCATTGTGTCCATGTAAGAAAGATAATTTTTTGATAATTTCCATCTTTCAAAGAAAGATAGTTTCTTTGAATTTTGATTGCTTAACTATAGGTAAGGACTTGATGGTTCAATTTAATTGTATAGCATTTTATTAACTATTCTTAGTAACAGCCACTAGTAGTATAGGATGTTAGAAGTTAAAAACAGTATTGGATTATGATTTTGCTAACAAACTAAAGAAAACTGGTGGATATGATAACCATTCAAGTTTTCATAATCAAATAACACAACCACAGTAGAAAATAACATGCACTCAACCACTGTGTTAAAGATGGTGACTTTGTGTAGAATTTTTTGATGAAAGCCATGTCTAAACTACAAATTTGTACAGGTTGAACCTTTCTTAACTGGACACTCTGTCTGGCAACATTCGTGGTGCTGTCAGACCATGGATGTTCCTGGACCAGAGAGCCCTGGTGGCAGGAATCAGGAGTTGGAAGCCCTGCTGGGATCCCAGGAGAGTTGGAGGCTGGGAGTCCTCCTGGGCCAGCAGTAGCAGGACCAGCAGCTCAGCTGGGACTGGAATCTCTGCTGGGCCTGTGGTAGAGGGGGTGACAGCTCTGCCGGGTACAAGAGCCCAGTGAGATTGGCGAGCTGGCGTTGATCTTCCCGGGTCCAGCAAAATCCTTCGTTAGGGACTGATCCGGCCCCAAGGATGCCAGACCAGGGAGGTGTCCAACCTGTATTGGTATAACAATGTTGCTGAGCTAAGTGGTATATTTATACAGGCGGACCCTGACTTGCAATGTGATTGGTTCCTGGGGAATCACTGCAAGTCGTGGGTGTCACAACTTGAACCCCAGAGTGGGTGGACTGAAGACAATGATCAAGCAATTTGTCTCCTGCCATTTTTCTCCAGCCTCTGACAAACAGAGACCAGGGACATCATTTCTATCCCCTGGCTAATAGCCTTTTATGGGCCTAACCTCCATGAAATTATCTAGCTTCTCTTTAAACTCTGTTATTGTCAGTCCTAGCCTTCACAGCCTCCTCTGGCAAGAAGTTCCACAGGTTGACTACGCGCTGTGTGAAGAACTTTCTTTTATTAGTTTTAAACCTTCTACCCATTAACTTCATTTGGTGTCCTCTAGTTCTTCTATTATGGAAACTAATAAAAAACTTTTCTTTATTCACCCTCTCTATACCACTCATGATTTTATAGACCTCTATCATATCCCCCCTTAGTCTCCTCTTTTCTAAACTGAAAAGTCACAGTCGCTTTAACCTCTCTTCATATGGGACCCGTTCCAAACCCCTAATCATTTTAGTTGCCCTTTTCTGACCCCTTTCTAAGGCCAAAATATCTTTTTTGAGGTGAGGAGACCACATCTGTACACAGTATTCAAGATATGGGCGTACCATAGTTTTATACAGGGGCAGTAAGATATTCTGTGTCTTATTTTCTATCCCTTTCTTAATAATTCCTAACATCCTCTTTGCCTTTTTGACTGCCGCTCACACTGTGTGGAAGTTTTCAGAGAACTATCCACAATAACTCCAAGATCTCTTTCCTGATTTGTCATAGCCAAATTAGCCCCCATCAGACTGTACGTATAGTTGGGGTTATTTTTTCCAACGTGCATTACTTTACACTTATCCACATTAAATTTCATTTGCCATTCTGTTGCCCAATCACTCAGTTTGGTGAGCTCTTTTGGGAGTCCCTCACAGTCTGCTTCTGTCTTGACTATCCTAAACAGTTTTGTATCATCCGCAAACCTTACCACCTCACTGCTTATCCTTTTTTCCAGATCATTTATGAATAAGTTGAACCGTATTGGTTCTAGTACACACACCTGCAGGACCCTACTAGTAGGGTGAAAATTAACCATTTTATTGCTACCCTTTCTTTTCTATCTTGTAACCAGTTATCAGTCTGAGAGGATCTTTCCTCTTATGCCATGACATCTTACTTTCTTTAAGAGCCTTTGGTGAGAGTCCTTGTCAAAGGCTTTCTGAAAATCTAACTACACTATATCCACTGGATCCCCCTTGTCTTCATGCTTGTTGACCCCCTCAAAGAACTCTGGTGAAACCTGTTTTCCCTTTACAGAAACTGTTGACTTTTCCCCAACAAATTATGTTCATCTATGTATTTGACAGTTCTGTTCTTTACTATAGTTTCCAATTTTTCTCGGTACTCGGTTAGACTTACTGGCCTGTAATTGCCAGTATCACCTATAGAGTCCTTTTTAAAAATTGGCATTGCATTAGCTATCCTCCAGTTATTTGGTACAGAAGATAATTTAAAGGATGGGTTACAGACCACAGTTAAGTTACACAATTTCACATTTGAGTTGTTTCAGAACTCTTGGGTGAATGCAAACTGGTCCTGGTGACTTAATTGCCATTTAGTTTTATCAGTTTGTTCTAAAACCTTCTTTGATGAACAGATGCCATTACAGCATTGGAGAGCATCCACACTGAGATCACTGCAAGAGATGCCCCGTCATAGTTGTGTATCTAGGAGCAGAATGTCTTCAGTAATGGCTCGTCATCTGGGGATCTTTTGTTGTGTGGCAGGGTAATGATGCACGTTTGGGGCATGCAGGCTTTGAGTGGGCTCAGGTTTTCGCCTGAAGGGGTGGGAATGTTGCGCTGGTGTTTTGACAGGATCGTTCTGAGTCTAGTTGATGTCTAGCGTGATCGTTTTGTTCGTATCGCGTCTGTGCCTATGAACGTGGAGGCTTGGGTGATGGGAGCTTTTTCAGAACAACCTGGGTGCTGCTTGCATTTGATGTTAGACCTTCGGGGATAAATTCTTGGTGGAGAAGTCCCCCCCTTTTGGAAGAGCATCAAGGGTGCACCCTGAGAATGGAGGGTGCTGAGAACACTGGTCATGCTCAGTGCCTCCAACGGCAATTGATCCTTGCTGTGGTGCAAAATCCAAGAGCTGTAACAAATTGAGCCTCAGTCTGCTAGTGAAGAGGGGGTCATCCTAATTCTCCCCATTCTGCCTATGGGATGCACGAGGCATGGGATAAGGGTGTGACTTAACGAGTCCATGTCAGAGCCAGAACTAAAACTCCTGGTTCCCAGTCCTGTATTTCTTCCCACTGGGCATTACATTTGGCTCTGGACTCAAGGAGGGGAAGGAAGAGTAAAATAAACCACTAAGCCGTGTTAGTTCAGACACTAGAAATCCGTGTCCACAACGTTCTTGAGAGTGGATAAATTGGAGAACTTTAGTTCTTACAATTCTTGAAAACAAATTGTCTTATGGATGTGTGAGATCATGCGTTTTAGCCATGCCGTTTTTTTCCTGTTAAAACATGAGGTAGGTTAATTTTCTCTTCCTCTTCTGATCCCAAGTCCCAGCCAAAATCTTCCCATTGTGTAGAATGAGGAGGCCTCTTGTTGATTGGGCCACATGAGTCATTTTGTCAAAAAGCCTAAAAATGCTCGTTGACCGTTGTGGGCAACCTGTAGCCAATAGGGGCTCTCGGTTTGGCCCCTGGGACATTTTGTTGACTGGTGTCGACAGGCACGGTTGCCAGATTCTGCTGGTTTCCTTCCACTTATTCTCCCCCCCCACCCCCCGCTACCAGTGTTACTGAAGTGACATGCGCAGGAAGTGAGGCGCTTGCTGATTGCTCTCATAGTCAGTGTTGTGTGCAGTGTGCTCCTTCTGCATCCAATCCCAGCGCGGCTATTGTTCAACTGGCACCCCCTCCAGCTACACCAGCGCAGTAAGCAAAGCCACTCTATCCTGGGAGACCGGCACTATCTTTTAGGTTGCCCATCGCTGCTTTTCAGTCCTTGAAGGCAATATCAAGCCATGTGTTGGGTCGGGTGGTGCCGACTAGGAGGAATAATCTCTGTCTGGATCTCCGTGTAATGTGCTTGCATGACAGAAAGACTTGGTTGGCCCCCTTTTGAATGGTGCTAGAGGAATGCAGGGGAGCTGAGCCTAGGGAAGCAGTGTGACATGTAGGTTAAAACTGGATGAATTCAGATCTCTAGTGCTCTGATGCTGACCTGCATGACCATTCTCCTTCTTTAATACGAGGTACTCTAATTTACCTATCTTATTAGTCAGACTCCTAGTATTTGTGTAGAAGCACTTTAAAAATTTGCCACTGCTTATTTGTCTGCCCTTCCCTGATGCACTGGATTCCTTTATATGCGGTTGTGTGTGTGCTCTGGCCCATGGTTTGTCCTCTCCCCTCCTCTCTTTCTGACTACAGCTTAGAGAATCTCTATCAATGGATTCTCCTCTAAGAGAAGTTTCCATCCGATTTACGTGCATCTCCGCACCAATCAGCTTTCCCCCATCTCTTAGTTTAAAAACTGCTCTACAGCCTTTTTAATGTTTAGTGCCAGCAGTCTGGTTCTACCTTGGTTTAGGTGGAGCCAATCCTTCCTGTATAAGCTCCCCCTCTCCCAAATGTGTCCCTCGTTCCTAATAAAGCCAAACCCCTCTTTCCTTTGGGACTCTGAATCTCTGCTTGCCTACCTGGCCCTGCGCGTGGAACTGGAAGCATTTCCGAGAAAGCCACCATAGAGGTCCTGGATTTCAGTCTCTGTGTTGCTAACACAGCAGAGGAAAAACAATCCAAAGCTAAAGCATAGCACATTTTGGTCAGATAATTGCATCCAGTTCATCAAGGTCTCCTTCCCAGTGACTCTACCATAGTCAACTCTTTTTACCCCCTTCCCCCAGAAATTGTATTTGCCCCAGGATCTGATCTGATCAATACTCCTACCTACCTAACATTAACTTCTACATTTTTCACAAACTGTATTCACTAAAAAAACAACAAATGGTCTGGTAGCACTTTATAGACTAACAAAACATGTAGATGGTATCATGAGCTGTCATGGGCACAGCCCACTTCTTCAGATGACTGGAGTTTTGAGTTTAGGATGTGCAGACCCAAAATAAATAGGAGGGAGAGGAGGAGGAGAGTGTATAGAAAATCAGGAAGGTAGAGGGGATCAGTAAGTATCTGAAGATTGGGTAGTTAAAACGAAGCAGCTAAGAATCCAAGTCAGTTGATAGTATCCTTCCTGACATAGGAATCTACACAAAGAGCTGTTTGCACCTTCATTGACTGTTAGGTTGATAGTGTCCCAACCATCCTTCATCACGACTGAGTCCATTTGACTGCACATCCAGTAATTTGATCTATGCCATCAATGCCCCACTGCTATATATATATATGGGACAAACTGGACAGTCTCTGTGGGAAAGAATCAATGGACACAAATCAGATATACGTAAAGGAAACATACAGAAACCTGTTGGGGAACACTTTAATCTTCCTAATCACTGAATATACTTGTTCAGTATATAATGCTGAACAACCATCAGATGAGAATGACTTTTTGATCTGGGCTGACCTTGAACTGATGACCTAAGAGTGAATGGTTCCATGTGTCTTTAACAGTTCCCTGAAATATGAAGTCCCTGCAATGGAGAAATTCCAGTCTTTGTTTTCCCATAAACATATTGAAAAGGGAAAAAAAGCAAACCCCAATCAGTATGTTTTGTTAGTGAGTTTTATGTATCTAGCAACTACAGTACTACTAATTTGGAAGGATGCTTGTGCCAGGTTTGGAGGAGGTTTTGTGTTAATTCTTGTTTTTACTAGAATCTTTATTGTATGTGCAAAACTGTCTTACAACTTCTTGTCTCTTTAATTCTAGGCAACTACAGTAAGCAGCAAACCACCAACTAAAGGGAATGCAATGAGCAACTTTTTTGGAAAAGCTGCCATGAGTAAGCATTATATAATATGCATTTGTCTCCTGAAATCATTGTGGTAATGGATGAGCTGATTGCAGTAAGGAACTACTTTGTGACATTAGGAACTCATTGTTTTAGCAAAATATTGATGCAGTTAAAATATGGCTGATAACAAGTGTGTATTCTTTGCTGTATTGGAGTAGTGGAGGGTCTAAGAAAAAGCAAGACAGGGCCCTAATTGTATTATTTCCCCCCCCATCGAGCCTGTAATTTACTATACTTTTGTCTGCACTCTGAATCAAGAGGTCTAATTCTTGAGTCTGCTGTCTTAGAGCAGTTAGTAATTCTAAGGCAGAAATTAAAGGAGAGTTGTAAGTGGAATATTTCACACTAGAAAATTATGTGGTGGAAATCAATTGGGCTAATATCATACAGATTTTTAACCCAGGAAGAATTTTTATTACATACATTTTTTTTAATTTAAAAATGAGCATTTTGAGGCAGGAGAACTGACTATTTGTGAAATAGTTCCTGAAAACTGATACACAGGGAGTGTGTTAATGGGAGTGATTTAGGAGAAAAAGCAAAGGAGGAGGAGGTAGCTGGCCTTGAAGTGTATATTGTTTGTGGGATAATAAAGAATGGACAATTGGAATGGATGAATGAGGGAGATTTTTCTACGTGATGGGATGTTAAGATTCTGAAAGGAAAAAGTTTGGAAAACAAATGTGTAAGACTATTCAAATGTGCACCAGTAACAACAAAAGGAGGTAAGGATGCCACTGGTTAACCAGTAAGCATCACCATTACCGGGTGATACTTACTGGTTAACTAATGGCCCAGCTGGACTGGAGCAGCCCCATGCCTGACACAAGCAGGGAACTGCTCTGGCTAGGCCCACCGCGCCACGCCGCGGCCAGGGGCCACTCCAGCCTGCGGGATCCCATTTAAGCAGTTAACTGGTTAAATGGGATTTTGCATCTCTAGTAGGAGGAGTGAAGGAGGTGTTTCCAGAACAAAGTCCGGGATGATATTGGTAGTATTCCAGTGAAAGAAATCTGTTGGATTTTTCAGAGTGCAGCATCTGGCATTCAGCATTTAACAAATGATATTGGAATAGTGTCTGATCCTAGTGCTAGAGAACCACTTGTGAGTCCTTATTTTGTTAAAGTATGACACTGTGAGGTGTGGAGATTTTCATCAAACATTTAAAAATTATACAAGCAGCTATTACCATTAATCCAATTAAATTCTTAATATCTACAAAGAGTCCAAGATCAAAGGAATATGTTCTAAAAAGTGGGAAAGCTGACGTAAAATGGAAAGGTAAGTAATTTGGAATAAATTACACTTTCTTCCTCTAATCTGTTGCCATGTGTGGTATGCTGTGCACTACTGTGGTACTGAGCTCCTGCAACTATACCCCTTCACAATGACCTCTGTCCAGTGGCTAAGGATGGAGCAGCATTGCCAGGAACAAAGGGGCTGAGAGGAGCTTGGCTCTTGGGCACTAATCTCTTTCCTAGCCTCAGAAACTTTATCTCAGGACTCAGGCAATAACAAACAATGATTGGGTCTTCTGACTCTTTGTTGTTGCTCAACTTGCGGTTGATCATTTTGTGTCATAGGTGCGATGTGTTACCTAGCTAGGATCACTGAAACTGCTAGATAAAGCATCTGGCCCATTTTTGATGGCCCTTTAGCCCATTGACAGCTTGATTCAGCATGAGCCGAAGGGTGGGTGCTAGAAAGATGCTGATGGCAATTTTATCAGAGCTGTTGGCACTCTCTGATCCCATCGGTCGTGAGGTTTTGTTGACTCAGTTGTTGAATACTTACTCTTCCTCTCTGAGGTATCTCAGATGTGGGTTGTCACCTCTCCTGTTCAGTGTGCATGTATGGCAGCTGAGTGAAATCAAGGCATTGTGATTAGGCTGCTGGTGAATAAGACCACTGCCAATTATTCTGAACAATGTTGTCTCACTGGTTCTTTGTACTTCCTTCTCTATGTCCATCTGCTGTCTCTTGTATTGTACTAAGATTGTAAACTCTTTGGGGCAGGGACCATCTCTTTAGTCTGTGACTGTACAGTCTCTGATCCATTGGACTGCTTGCTGATGGCATGTAGAGAATTGCCTGGTCACGTGGTGCTGGCTCCAATCCTTGTTTCTAGCAACATGAATTGCATTAAAAACAGCTAAAAATATATTAAAATTCTTTCCTATTTCTTTTCCATGTAAGCAATAGCTGTTGCTACAATAGGCATTCTGCAATTGCAAACGGTACGGCCGTAGTCCAGGTAATCACCAGTGGATGGGGAGGTATTCTACAAGATGGGTCCTAGGTTATAACCGTGGCTCCTTGATGCTGTGGTAATACAAGTAGTAGTCATGGGCTACAGGACCACAACCATGAGGCTAAACACAGCTCCGGTTGCACTTCTTCAAACCTGGATTTTGCTGTTTCTGTGCTTCTCATACAGAACTCCTATTTGAACTTGGATAGGAGTGAAGTTGCTGATGCTGAACCCAGACAAGTTGGAAATTTGTCACTTGGAGAGATTCATCTAGAGCAGTAGAGGAGATTGTGCCTGTGCCTTCATATAGAAGTGTAGCAGTGCCCCTTTTCTGGAATGGCTTGCAGTTGTAAGGTTGCAAAGGATCCCTTCGTGCTTCTGAACATGGTCTGTAGTGCGCCTTCCATCTGTAGCTGACTGATACTACGACCTGTCCTTTTTCTTGCAGACACTGTATACTAATTCCTTTGTCATTTCCAGACCGTGTGAAATAAGCAGTATGCACTCTTATTTGTCTTATTCGCAGATAAGCTTAAAGTCAGCTCTGAGTCTGAACAGCCAAAGGAAGAAAAAACAGTTGCCAAGCCCTCCGTTTCTACAGTGGAACCCAAATCACCCCCCATTGCCACACTGGAGAAACCTGGGAAAAAAATGGAGCCTGTGAAAATCCAGCAAAAGGACAAAAGAAGGTAGAGCAGTGGTTTTCAAACTCTGATCCATTGGACTGCTTGCTGATGGCATGCAGAGAGCTGCCTGATCACATGGTGCTGGCTCAAATCCTTGTTTCCAGCAACATAAATTGCCTTAAAATCAGCTAAAAATATATTAAAATTCTTTCCTAGTATTTCTTTTCCACGTAAGCAATAGTGGTCGCTACAATAGAGGCATTATGCAGTTGCAAATGGTATAGCTGTAGTCCAGGTAATCACCAGTGGATGGGGAGGTATTCTACAAGACAACCTCTTTATGGAATTGTGGCCCACACGGAACGAACTTAGTAATCTTGGGGAGAAATAAAGGGACCTGGCAAGAGCACCTGCTTTGCAGGGTAGATTTATATTCCTGAATTTATGTGTGCAGACAGCTTTCAACATGTGAAGTTCTGCTAGGTGGTTGAGGTAGCTGATGTACTGCTGCTTTTTAAGACACTGAATTATGTTGGGTGATGTTCCAAGTAAAATTATGTGCAGTCCTCTGTTTTTAATCCAACCCAAGCTGACAGAGACCAAAAATCATTACAGTCTCATAGCTGTTTGGTGGCCTGCGTGTAATTAATTGGTGGTCT